ACAGACAAGTCGAAGCTCGGCTGTGCTTCTCGGATTGCTTCAGTAAAGACTTCTACGGACCATCCTAACCATACTAACAAAAGGAAGCCTTTTTCTGTGCCATCAAATATACTATAAATTCAATGCGTGGGTACCCATCAGCACACATTTGCAAAACTTGCGCTGTGCTCGTATACTTGAAGATCACTTGAAGAAAATTGATGCTATTTCGAACAGAAGCACCTAAAATCAAAATGCGCGCGATATCGCGTTGTATGCCCACGTATACGCTTGCAGCTAAATTAAGCATGGTTGCGTCACACGAGAAAAGCGCGCGCAGTCCACCAGCTTTTATCAAAATTTCCGTAACACAATGCTTCATATTGCTAGGCAGTGAGGGTGACCGATAAACATAAGCGGGAAAAGCACAGGCACATGAAAATTTTGGACTTGTTTTCTTGAGTTTATTCTCAGATATGCGCAACTTTCACTCCGGTACTTAAAGTCGTTGCTTTGAAAATACATTAAATTTTGTTTTTGTTGCAGGCACAATTCTCAGTGACTATTAGTTGTAATCGCTACTCCTTCAGAATGACGTTCACTTCTCTAATGAAGGCGACTTTAGGACCGAGCTGTGCAGCAGCAGTGAATGGTCAAATAGCAGTAGTAATGATGCCAGGGATCATGATAATGGTGAGGAAGATAACGATACACCAGTGAGAATCCAAGTTCAATATTCTGGCATGATTGTGAAGGGGACTGGGTAGGCCTGATTGGAAAGGGATAGGACACATGCGGGTAAGTGTAGTTCAAGAAACGAAAAAAAGCATGTATCGTGGCCGCATCACATGAAAGCATACAGCAATACTTGGGTCGCATGGAGCGTGTACAGACGCGCACGAGCCCTAACTTAGCAAATATAGCTTTACAAAGAAATAGACCCTCAGGTTATTTATCTTTTTTCTCGACCTATATTAGCGATAAATACTAGAATCGAGTACAGCAATGACCGCTAGCCCATGAATGTAGCAAATATCATTCTCGACCTCCTTAAGTGTAAAGGGACACTGAAAAGCAAAACGCCTTCTCATGCGTTAATTAAGTACAATTTCACCAACCGCTCTACCGCGACAGGACTGCTAATAAGCGAAAAAACACGTGAAAAGGAACTGCGGATGAAGACGCCACCATGAGATTCCAGCAGCAGACACTGTGACGTCATCAACATTGGAAGGTGTCTATTGGTTCCTACATAGCTTCTAGTTAATAAAAATGAAGTACACAGTATTATGTGGTTTCTATAGATCTATCAAACGAATTGTCAGAATGTTTGACCATTCTCAGAATGTTTGAATGTTAAGAAAATACGAAAAATGAATTGTGCAATATCTTTCGTCCCGAGAGAATACTAGAATGCCAAGAAGACAAATGCAGCGTCCCTCTCAATTTTCTCCGCTAATTGAGAACTTATGTCTGTGATACTAAATATGTTTGAATTCTCAGAGTGCCGGTTATCAATCTAAAAGAATTCACTGTTTCTCTTTGGTGTTGCTTTAAAAACAGAGTGGCAAGAACTCCATTTGGGACACGTGGCATGCAAATGCTAGAACTGCAAAATGCGGTAGAAATATAGGTTCAGATTAGAGAGTCTCTGGGAGCCCCTAAACGTAGCAAGGCAATTTATATGCGAATTAATACGCCACAATAAAGAGTGCGATGAATAGTGCAATGAAGGTTGCAAATACCAGTGCTAAAAGCACATAATGTGAGATGTTTCTTCACGTTTTGAACGAAAATGGCTTTCTTGACTTTTAGCTAGGTTAGTCTTGATGTAACAAAATGAATACATTCATTCTTTCTTTTAAAACTTTAGCTTTCCCTTTTTTTTCTTCCGAGTCAGTGCAATAAGTCTATCAAGGTTACAAGATTGAAGAAACGACGGGCTGTACCCACCGCCCCTAGGGCATACGGTTGTACGCAGCCATTGAGCTACATAGTGCTTAAACGATTGAATCTACTTTTCAGTGGTAACTTCGGTCCTTTTGTCGCACATATTAAAGATATTAGGCATTACTGTATGGACAAGATGTCTACAGAATGACACAGCACACAGGAATCAATTTACGCTCTGTTTTCATCTGTGTCTGATGTGTCAAGCAAGGTGTTGTTATTTTTGCAATGTGCACACGTAAATGTTCCGTTTCCTGCTAGGTTCAGTTTCATTCAAATTCATGTTTGCGTGAAGTGTGGTATAATGAATTCTTGTTCAGTAGCTAAAGTGTAGACTGCATATTTTCACTATTGCATAATTGTCAAGTTTTAATATCTGTGGTATTTGAAGTCTTCTATTGAATTTATATCTCTAAATGCTCACTTCACTGCTAGTTACCAGGAAGTCGGGACCCTTGTTAAGAAGCTTGTGCGGCTTTTAGTGTCTTTGCCTTTGTTTGGGCAATGGGAAACAAAGACAAATTGGAATTAAATTTTGTAATGCTTAAAATGAACACAAATGAACACTTTATGTGAGTTTGCATGGCATAAGTCTTCATGAGTTCTCAGGAGGACACGAATTACTTACAAAAAACGCTCGTTCTTAGTGCCATGTTCTTAGGTTTCATCTCGCCTAAATTGTAACCCAAAGTCCCGTGCCGGCAGTCCTGCGTGCACTTTCACCTTGCGCACCGACGACGTCATCTGAATTTAACAGCGCCATCAACACTGATCACACAAGACTTGTAACACCACTCTTCTGGGCAATGACGAAATTGCGCGCAAAGTACTTGATAAATGAAAAAAAAACTGTGTCGGTAGGAGTCACGGATGATTTCTTTATTTCTTCTCTTCTAGGTCTCCTTCATATACAGTTATGCATGCCTTATAGTCACACATTCAATACTTCTGCTATTGTTACTCGTGGCGTAAGTGACGAGTGTGTGATGTTAGTGGTGTCCTGTGCTATTGGTAATGTTAGCCATAGATGCTTACCTTTACACGGGTAACAGTGGCGAGCATTGAGCCGTTTACTTGGCGAGCATTGTTACCAAGCATTGGTCCGTGACAGGTTAAAAGAAATTATCATCATCAATGCAGTGACGGCCGAAATGTCCGCGGCAGGTTAAAAGAAGTTATCATCATCAATGCAGTGGCGGCCAAAATAATTGAAACTTCTGTTTGAATGAGCTCATTAAAATATATCAATACCAGTAAAAGTACTGTATATTGGGTGAGTTGGTGCATGATAAAATCGTATGGGTATAGCGTAGCTCTGTTTAAGCGTCAAGACAAGAAGCCAGTTAAGAAGGGGATTAGAGATGAAAGGATGAGCGCTCATCCTATCGGATGAGACAGCATTAGTGTACGTCACGCTCAGAGCTGCTCTAAAATCATATAACTTTATTCAAATAGAATATTAAAGTAACTCTTGTTTTGTTTCGAGAAGGCAGCTGCTAACGACACCACTCTCTTCAAGCTCTCCTTCCTCACCATTGTCTTCTTAGTGTTTTATTGACTTCTGGATTAAGTGCACTGAAATATGCAGCGTGGGGTGCAATAACCTTTATGAGAAAGAGAACAAATGCAGAGACAGCGAATTGAACGAAGTTTAAAGAAACACTTACAAATAAAAAGAACCAGAAATATTATTTACGAAAAAATATGTGCTCGAGACGAGATTAGAACCCACGAACACACGATCCGACGGCGAGCGTCGTTAACCATTTGGTTACTCTCTCACCACTTTCGCGGACCGATGCTGCCAGTAATCTTCGACGACTTGCACGTGAAATCACGTTTTCACTATGGTGCCCATCAAGCATCGATACGAATCGTCAACTCCAACTCTCCTCTTTGATGGCTCTCCGCATGCCCACTGGACTCGACCGAAGAGAAGCCAGCCTGCTTCATCGCTTATGGCTAGGAGTGGCATTTAAAAATCTTATTCCTTTGTCATAGTAATGGCCGACAACGCTCTCTTCAATGCCTGTCATTGCGAAGAGACGCTACACCACATCCTGTGTGACTGTCCGTTGTATGAAATCCAGAGACAGTCACTGGCGTCTGCTTTTGCGCGCATCGACAACAGCCAAATGTCTGTGGACACTATTCTGTCAAGTACCCGAGAGAAGACATTGCAACAGAAGGCGACGAAAGCTCTGTTAAAATTCGTACGCTACACAGACTTGAACAAGCGACAGTAACAGCAATGTCACACACCGTGAAAGACAAGACTGGACTATGAGTGAGTGCGCGTGTGCTGCCGAATGTGCTGTTTCTCTCTTCCCTCTCTGCTCTCTATCTTTCATCTCCCCCATCCCTCTCCCATGCGCAGGGCAGCAAACTGGCTGCCTATAGGCTGGTTAACCTCACTGCATTTCTTTTTCCTCTACTTTCCTTCCTTCCTTCCCTCACATTTCTGGTATGAAATCTGTATAATAGAAACGTCTCTGAAGAAGTCGAACCCTGAAATGGCCTTCACGGCCCACATCGGCAGTTACCTTTCACACATTTTTCAGAAGATTTTCATAGTCATATATATACTTTACGAGGTCTAAATTGTGCTTTTTTATAATTGTGCCTTTTTATGCCATTTCACACGTGTTATTTGACACTATGTTAATTTTTAGGAAAACTTTATTTATAGCTTGCTTTTATATTTGCTTCTAACTAATCACAGTTTGGACCTAATTTTTGTGCTAATTTGTATGATGTCTGTGAAAATAGCTTGTTCTTGTAACCGGCTGCTTTAGTGAAGGCTAATATATTGCATGTGACTCGAGGAGAAACCAACAAAACTGCACTGTGTTCGATTTTATAATACCTATCACCCATCATTATGAATCATATAAGTCTGAAGGGCATCATCGCTAAGTGCAACCCCGTGCCGCATTAACGTGCCTTTTCGCTGGCAGGTCGCGCCGCCCCTTGCTTCCTCACATAACAGCGTATTTTGCTGACCATGTACAGAGTAGTGTCGGGGTTAAAGTATGCGCTTCTTCAAGCGCTTTTTTCTCGCACGTGCGCCGCCGCATTTAAAGGAGCACCTCGAGATCGCACCCCTTGTGTGGCCACAACCGACTGCAAAAGACAGAAGCTCGTTCCAGTAAGACGCCAGGGTTCGAAATGTAAGCTACGTCATTTCACTGCCTTTGTATTGTTGTGAAACTTTGTATACCTACGCCTTTTACCTGTTGGAAAGATATGTTGTGAAGAAATGTGAAAAGTTGAGGACTATTCAGAATATTTTTGTGCTTTACGATGTTGGCGTTCAGTCATAGAACAGAACATAAAAATTATGAAATTAATTAATCACAATAATTTTCTCTTGCATATTTGTTGTTCTCAAAACGAATTCAAGTCATTCAAGCCAGCAATATATATAGTAGAGCACATTACTCTAAATAATTTAAAACTCTGTAGCTATACATTTACTGTAATTTCAAAAAAAGCAAACAAGCTTGCCAGCAAGCTAGAATAACAGTCCAGCTCACTTGCTAGTTTACTTGCTGAAATATTAGAATGACACATGCCATCGAGTGGTATTAAGAACAATTATGAGAATGATTTCTAGAGCGCCATATGATTGATAAGAAGCAATCACACACAGAACCAGAAATCACCTAATTGGTACTACGCTATTCTATCCGCCATGCCATTTCAGTGTAGAGCTAAGGTCCTTTCTGGCGGCATGGCGACCACTTCAATAAAATCCTCCTATAATTAACACACCAACGTGATTTAGCAGTGATATATTCCACTAGTGGATTCCCTTTTCTGAGTTCATTTCATACTCGGAAAAACTCAGCGTGACATAGACGATGACAGGGAACTTATTTAGACTCAGATAAGCGCTTTCAATTTTGCTAAATTACCCCACGACCAATTTTCAAGATGGTGTTCGTGTCGCTCTTGCGAGATATTCCCACATTTTGAGTTCGTTGCATGTCCATCTTTGATGCTTTTTTAATTATCACCCAAGTTAAGCTATTCTTTCGCGTTTACGCTACCCGTAGGTTTTTCAAAGTGCACAGAGATTCTTTTAAGGACTCTGATCACAGATTTCAACGCAAATACCGTTGAAGAGCTCGTTTCGCTAAAATTGCGGCGTCGCCGTCATTGGTTGTGGGCGAAAAATTATCATCTTTGCATGAACAAAAAATCAAGAATGACGCAAATAAAATAAATATTTCTTGGTCTTAGTGGCAATAGCACCCGGGTCCTTTGTGTGCAAGCGGGTGCTCTACCACACAGCCAGGCCATTGCTTTTCTTTCTTTGTTTCATGTAAATTGAATCAAATTCATATATATAAGGCAAAAAAGTGTATACCTAAGGGCTTGTTTTTCAGTGTTTTGACACAATAATGAGATCTAACAGACAGCATTGCCAAGGAATGTACAGGGGAAGTTATTAGAACCAATGGAATGTATATTAGAAGAAAGAAAAGTGGGTGAAAAAATAACCAGCCGTGAGCGGGAATCGAACCTACGACCTTCGAATAACGCGTTTGATGCTCTAACCACTGAGCTATCAAAGCTTTTTTTCTTTCTTTGTTGCCTGTGTACATACAGCATTCACAAACATATATACATCAAACAAAGTAGAAACATGAAACAAAAAAAGAGGTAAAAAGCATCATAATTAACAGGCTTTTTCAAATTCATTCATCTGTAGAAGGCTTTCTACTTGATGAAGTCATTCGGGCACCTCTTGTTGAACCTCTTGTGATTCCAAGAACGAACAGACAGATTGAAAGAAATATTGCCTAACCGGACGTGCAGTAACATCAGCATGGCGCACCGCCATTCTAGATTGCCATAAACCGTGCAGGCCCAGTAACATAACTAAGTCGAAAGTATTCCTTCTTCATTTGATACTGGTAGAAATCTGATTCCATAGGCATCGAGAGGCCGATCCTTTTTCAAAGTCCTTTGGAGAACATCTCAAAAAAAGACTGCATCCCCGCAGTCGAGGAAAACATGTTCAATTGTTTGCGGCTTTTTGCAGAGAAGGCAATCAACACCCCAAGGAACGAATAAACCTTTTTCTTGCATCCATGTTTTCACGGGCAAGGTTCCAGTGTGCAACTTAAAGAAAAAGGATTTCGCTCCAGGTGATACCTCAATTTTTTTACACGGCTTAAGACATTTTGGCCTGGGCGTACACGGTATAATGCTCTATTTAGGGGAACCGGAAGAACTGTTTCTACTAAATTTTTGCACAACTCTTTACGCGAAACCGTACTGAGGTATTCCAATGAAAAACGCGTTTTTAGAAAGAGACACGAATCAACAACTTCTTTTAGGAAACCTCTAATACTTGCCTTCATGTGAACAGATGCTACCACAAATTCTGGCAACCGTCTTCCAAGCCTAAGCTGTATAACAGTACGTATGAATGGGTCTCGATTATTTCGGAAAACGTAAACCGATTAACTAACTGACGAAGGTACAAATGACACAGACCAAGTCCTCCAGAGCGAACCCGTCTGAATAAGCTAGTTCTACTTGTTTGCTCCCAAGAAGAACCCCACAAGAAAACAGCAAATATTCGATGAAGCTTCTGTAGATTCACACGTAAACAATGCTTTGCCTGAAAGACATACCAGAGCTTACTGACTGAAAATACGTTACAAAAGGTCGCTCTGGCGAAAATTGATAGCTGGAAACCATTGAGTTTATTTATTTATTTATTTATTTATTTATTTGTTTATTTATTTATTTATTTATTTATTAGAATACCCTCAGGGCCCGTAGGGCATTACAGAGGGGGTGGGTACAACATATATAACACACAAGAAAAAAAGACAAAATAAAGAAACAAGTATCAGATGCGCAAATCAGGAAGGCAACATAAGTCAACTAAAAATGTATAAGAATTCAAGCACATACAAGACAAAGATAGATAATGGAAACTGCGTATAGTTACAAGCATTGCTGAGAAATTGCAGTCTTGAATAACAAAGGGTCTGTTATTGATACAACGGAAGAGGGAAGGTGGTTCCAATCGGCGGCTGTTTTCGGTAAGAAGGCTGCTGAAAAGAATTTGGTGCGGCAAAACGGAATGGCAACCTTATGCTGATGATCAATGCGCGATGAGTGGTACGACGGTTGTGAAATGAGGTCTCGCTTCATTGATGGATTGTGAAAAAATATCTTATGAAAAAAATGCAGTCGCGCCAGTTTCCTCCGGACAGTTAAATTGGGTAGGTCAAGGTTAGATTTCATTTCTGATATGCTAGCAGTACGGGAATAATTAGAACAAATGAACCGAACTGAGCGGTTCTGAACAGATTCTAACGCGTTAATTAAATTTTGCTGCACGGGATCCCATATAGCGGACGCGTACTCAAGCTTTGGGTGAAATAGTGATCGGTATAATAGAATTTTGAGGGACAGCGGAGCGCGAGAAAAGTTGCGGCGTAAGTATCCTAGCGTTCGGTTAGCGTTATTATAGATGTAGGTAACATGCGTGTGCCAAGATAAATTGTTGGTAATGTAAACGCCGAGGTACTTATATGAAGAGACATGCTGGAGGGGAACGGCGTTAATTCTGTAGGCACAGGGGGGAGAAATAGATCGCCGGGTTAATGACATGCATTTAGATTTGTTAGAGTTGAGAGTCATAAGCCATTTATTGCACCAGGTTGAGACAGTGTCAAGGTCTGACTGTAGAAATTGGTTATCATATTTATTGTTTATTTCGCGGTAAATTACACAATCATCTGCAAATAACCTTATAGCGGAGTTAATGCTGTCTGGGAGATCATTAATATATATAGGAAAGAGTAAAGGGCCTAATACGGAACCTTGGGGTACGCCAGATTTTACTTTAGAAAGAGGTGAGTTATAGCCATTAGTTGTTACAAACTGAGTGCGATTAGTCAGAAAGCATTCAATCCATTTAAGAATGTTCGGGTCAATGTTTAAGGCACTAACTTTCAGGAGGAGTAATTGGTGAGGTACTTTATCGAAAGCTTTTTGAAAGTCAAGAAAAATGCAATGCAGTTGTTCAGCTTTTTCTCGTAGCTCCACGTCCTGACGCCGCCAGTACGGTTCACTGTCACAATAATATTATAATGGCACACCTAAGTATCGTACCGGAGTAGTAGTCCATGAAATACCAGCCGCAAATTCTGGAGTCACAGGCCATTCGCCGTACCAGTAACCCAGACACTTGCTCCAGTTTACCAAACTACCACTTGCATTACAATAAAGGTTCACAGTTTTTATGATTTTAGCGATACTATCATAATCTACAAAACACAGCTATATCATCTGCGTATGCCAGTACCCGTACTTCTGCTTCTTGTAGTTTGTACCTCACTATGTTATTGCTTTTCATGACTTTTTGGCAAAATGACTCTATATAAATTGAAAATAGGAGGGAAGACAAATGGCAGCCTTGTCGTACAGAACGTCTGCCATTAATTCGTTTCCCAAGAACTTTGTTGATGATTAGCCGAGTTTTACATCCAGTATATGCCATTCGAACTGTATATCGAATTACTTTGCCAACTATGACATTGTCTAACAAAAGAAAATAAAATTTCGTGCGTACTCGGTCAAATGCTTCATCTAAATCTATCTGGATCATCGCGATGTGATCGTTTGTGGCATCGCAGCACTCCAATACACTTCGTGCCTTGTGAATGTTTGTGAATGTAGTGCGCCTTTTAATCCCACATGTCTGGTGGTTACCTACAATGTTATTAATAACTGTCTGCAGTCTCCCTGCTAGCACTTTCATCAAAATCTTGTAGTCGATATTTAATAGAATGATTGGCCTGTACGATATAACTTCACGTAATTTAACTGCGTCCTCAGTGTTTGGAATTAAAATAGTATGAGATAGCAGAAAAGAAGGTGGCAGAGTCTTTGTGTCTAAGGCTTCGTTAAAAACCACTGCCAGGATTGGTGCTAGTTCGTGTTTGAATTCCCTATAAAATGCGGTTGTTAAGCCATCAGGTCCTGGGGACTTTCCCAAATGGAGGGCAATGACTGCTTTTGTACTTCCGGTTCAGAAATAGGACATTCTAGGCTGTCTTTCCTGCAGTCCTCAACCTTCTGCATTAATTTTAAAAATTCATTCTTCAATTCATCTACATTTACTTTACATTTATTAAAT